ACAAAAGAAGATAATTTTAGGTTGTAGCATAGGACGTGCGCCATTTTGTCCGCATGCTGCCAGTTGTGAGCCATTTGTCATTTCATCTCTTTCCACCCCACAGCCTGCGTCTCCGCCTAAATTCTCTGTTATCTTTCTAGCCTCTCTCTCCCATCGGCAAACCTCCCAAGGCAGGAGGCCTAGAGAATGAATGAGATTCGCAAATGGGCAAGTAACCTGAGAAAGATCCCCACGACGCGCCCAGTGTGGCGTGTGTGCAGCACCCTAAGCCGAGGGGACACGATCGGCCTGCCTGGCCAGCAAACAGGACGAAGCTCAGGTCCTTGCGGCGTGGAGCTTTCCGTTCTTCTCTTAAAGGGGCAACTCTCATTCGCAAGCAACGAGTCTTTAGGGATGAAAAATGTAAAAATTCTTGGCTTTCGTGGTTCTGTTTTGTTTTTTCTCTAGATTAAGCCTCATGTTCATGTTTAAAAATCCTTTATTTTGGAGTTGGGGACAAACACAGAGCTAGCCTGACATTTGTTTTTTTCATGGTAACATGCTTTGCCTGTTAACTTAGAGAAAAATAAGCAGCCTCAATCTTACTTCATTTACTAGATTGTTTTTCTCTAATGTAAAATCAAGGTTAAAAGCAAACATGCCTAAAACAGGCCACCGTGACTTCTGAAGCCAGCGCCCCGGCTGGCTTTAAGGTGCCAACTTTTTATGCAAGCCAGTGTGTTAGCGCCTGCAGATGATTCTTGCAAATGCAGCATTTCAGGTAACGTCGCCTGGAGGATGCAACTTATTAGCAATTTTTGCAAAGCTAAAGTAAGCTATACTGAAATATAAGGATTTTTTGGCGGCGACGAAAGAAAAGAGCAGAGAGAGAGAGAAGGAAAGAGTGGGAGCGACACACGTGGCTTTTGGCTAAGTGCTGCGCCAGATGAGTTCTGGGGCGCCCAAGAGATGGGGGGCCGCCAGAAAGTCGCCTGCCGTTTTGAAAGGGGGTGGGCGGCCTTTTTTGTTACGCCTTTTTGGGCCAGCGCTAGAACCCTTTTTGGCATGAAGAGCTTGGGGCACCTTTGGTGTCCAACACTGAGAAATAGGAGGGGCTTGGCGGTATTTTGCGAAACGTTCTTTACTCCGATGACCATCTGGGCTGTGGATCCTCTCAGCAACGCGGGGCGCCTGGCAGTTTTTGTCCTGGCGGGTGGGGTCTGCATGAAGGCCTTTTCTTTTGGTCCTAGGGAACCGGAAGGGACGCCACCCCCGCAGCCTTAACAGCTGACAAACAAAACGGATCGCTGTAAAACACAGTGTCTATGGCCAGCAAAGTTTGGGAACTCAATCCTAAGGCGTGGTTATTTGTTTTTGAGCTGAAAGAACAAAGAACTTCTCACAGTCTTGGTGACGGGGGACACTCATGCAGGGCTAACCGAAGCATTTTCTGACTGCGCCAATAGTGAGATTGGTGGGTATGTGTAATAGAGTTATAAACGGGCAGGGTATGAGAGCAAAAGTTATAGAATTTGAAGAAGAAAGAAAATTTTTTTTTTCTTTTTTTTTTACATTTATTTTTTTCAGGCACTGCTCCGATAGACATGCACATGAGGCTTTTCTGGTTGTGGACAACGGTGGAGGCAGCAACAGTGGATTGGCAGACTGCTGAAGGGCTTGGTCTCCATAATGGAGTCATGTTACCCCTGAGGAGCAGCCCACTTCGAGACAAACCTTGAGGAACCAATTGTTTGGCAGCCAAGCACAAGGGAGGCTTGCTGAACTGAATTTTCACC